GAGGGTCTTAAAGGGGTTGGGGGGGGGGGGGGGAGGCAAGGCGTGAAAACGGTTAACTACAGGAATGTTGCTCTCCGGTTTTGAAACCGTCCGAATTCGAAGTGTTTTGAAATGCACAGATTTATGAAGGTCCATAAAATATATACGGTACACAGACATTGTTTTTGTTGATGTGGAGATCTTCAATAAACTGAAATAATATTTTCACACATATTTCCAGTTCTCCCCATATGCACCAGGTATATAGGCAAATTAAACACGATGTGTTTGATCTTGAACCGTGATGTGATTGCAAGTGCAAAAGTTAACGTTTCTTTGCGCCAGAAGAAGTATGTAAGGTTTGATGTTCTCGCAGCGGTGGTTATGAAGAACTTTGCCTTCAGGGATATAACGCCATGTAGTCCCTTAAATGTCAATCAACGTTACTTAGGAATATATCGTATTCATCTTCAGGGTTGAGAAGCAAACTAAGCAAGAAACTACCGGATGGGAGGACATTTCCCTCCGAAAATTATTTTAAATTTCAGCGGACTATACGGTGTCATATCGCAGCAGACAGAACTCTTCAAAGAACATTGGTTTTGGTGAGGGGGCTGAGAGTTGAGTAGAAAATAGATGTGGGATTCATACCCAAAACTTCTGTGAGCCACTGTCATAAAGTCCGAGATGCTGGCAGTGCCGCGAAATAAAGCACAAATATTTTTATATTCGTGCTCAAAAGAGATCAAGTCACTGAAGTACGGTGGCCATTGACTAAAAAATCACCGTATGATTCACACAGCTCTTATTATTTTGGGGGGCTGTGAAATGCAGGATGGAAGGGCCGAATATGTAGTTCAGATCGGCAACTATAAGTGCACACTGAATTTCTAAAGAGGATACCCACTGGGGAACACAGAGAAAGATGTGTAAATAAGATATAAAATTTGTGACGATGGTGCATTGCTACAAGTATTATGTTCCTGGACATTATCTATCGTCCTGTCTATTTTATAAAAAAACTGTCCTGTTTATTTTTCAAAACACAGCGTTTCCGAGACTGGATTCTGTCTCCGAAACGCTGTGTTTTGAAAAATAAACAGGACAGTTTTTTAGAAAATAGACAGGAGGATGGATAATGTCCAAAAACATAATACTTTTAGAAAGATGTGTAGATTATAGGGCTATAGAAACTTGATTCAGGGGAAGGGTAGACCCTGTTGTTAGGATATGGACTGGTATGATGTCATTAAATAATGTTATTTGGTTAATTTGTAAGCATTTGTAACTGCTGAGGTGATACGGCGTCATATTAAATGAAAACGTTATCGTGAATGCTGAGTAAAGGAGAATTTAGAACGGCTCTGCTCGGGTCCATTTCATGTTACAACTCGGGTATTCCCCCGTACAGGAGGAGATAACAGAAACCTGCAGTCAGGATAGCCGGTAACATTACATCTCACGCATACAAGGCAAGAGCTTTATCGCTAAAGCATTCTGCTCAGTTTCAGCGCTTTTAGCGGCGTCGAATCCTTTCACGCTAACTCGATGGAACAAAGGAGAAGCTAGTGGTCGCTCAGTTACTTACGGAGTTCTCTGCTCTTTACGGAACCCAAACTTTCATTGCTGTGAAGAGTTGTATCGTCTGCCATATAAAGCCGTGTAGTCCGTTGAAAGTCAACCGACGTTTCGGGGAACAGCTCTTCTTGCTACCATCTTCATTCTGGCTTCTTGCTGGGGCTGATCCTAGATCCTGATGATGGAGGCGACATGTTCCTCCGAAACGTCAGTCGACTTTCAAAGTATTACACGGCATTATATCCCACCGCTTTGAGAACCTCGAATCCTACATTTCATTGCCGTGTTTATCAGAGCACGCTTCTGATTTACCTGACCCACATGAATCCAGACGTTGCATTCTTTTCCTTCAATTTCAGTATTGTCCTCGTGTCTACGTTTGTCCCACAAGAGAGAATTTTCCTTTCATATTTTCAGTTTATAGTTTCGAATGCTTTTTTTTATGTTTCCCTTACGCCCTACATGCCCTGTTCTTATTCTCCTTCGTTTGACTGCCCTAATAATACGTTACGAAGATTATAAATTATGAAGCTCCTCGTTATTGAGTCTTCTCCCACTTCCTGTTACCACTCCTCTTAACCTTCAGGTACCCTTCGGCTACAGATACTAGGGAATTGCTTCTCTGTACCTTTCACTGCTGTGCTCCGCATTTTGAACCCCAAACCTCTTCACCCCGTTTGCAGGAAACACGGCTTGTATTGTCATGATGTGCAACAACACGCGATATGCATGTTCTCGAAGAGCTCTCTTGTTTACAGCACGTCGCCTCTCAAACCGTAGGCCACAATGAGGCTTGGAAGTTGCTGTGTTTCACATGATACAGAGTCGTTTGACGCTAGAATTCAAATGCGTGTCTTGGTCCTGTTGCTACAATGGTTGCCTTCGGCTCTCGCTTGTTTTGTATCCCCGTTCTGACAGTTTTCTTTTTTCTCTCGGTTCTTATAATTAGAGCTTCAATAATTTATGTCTTCCGTGAACTGCTCATGACGATAGTGGCATTACACAATATTATCCTGGTCTGTCAGTCTTACCTTCAGCGTTCGAAGTAGCTTGCTTTACGGTTAATCCTACGGAACTCTTGTTAACGAACCTGAAGCGTTGTCTGCCTGTTAATTAAAAATATGTTTAAAATGTTTTAACGTTTCGGAAACATCTTCGACACATGCACAGTGAATATAAAAAATCTCCGTGGCCTGTAGTGCGTAAGCGAACTATACCGAAAGAGCGACCGCCGCAAGTTAGTGTCAACTTTAGCTGATAGAGGGTGTCGTGGTCAGAGCAACGGATCCCCACTGCTGTTAATCTCGGTTTTCTATACCGGAGCCACCATTTCCTTGAAAGAGCTCCTCAGTTATCCTCACGAGGCTGAGTGAACCCCGTTCCAGACCCACTGCTTCTCAGAAAATCTGGTAGGACCGGGAATTGAACCCGGGACCTCTGGATCTGTAGCCAGGAACTCTGGCCACTAGACCACAGAGGCGGTCGCACAGTGCATATACTGTAAATAAATATCTTCATGATTGCATAAGTTAATTTGCTGTAGTAGTCCTTATGGTCTCTACACAGTCTATATACAGATGTGAGCGAAGTTACTCAGAACCGTTCAAGACTGGAACCAGTCCTGGATGCTTCCCTCCATGACATCCTTCGTTTCATCCGTCTGTCTTCCTCTCTGTGCATATTTAACCAGATTGGTTAATTGCTGGAACTAAAGAGAGATCGAACCTTTATAGATATCCCACTCGTGGGATTCCATTTTTTTTATTTCCTTGCAACGTTTGTAAATTTTCTCATCATTTCCGAAGCTGAACGTAAACATTCGGACGGAATGGCTTTGCGTCTATTAATTGTAATCACAGACCGAGTCATGGCAGTGGGATATAACCATTACAGTTTTGTGGAGGAAGTGTCAATACCTATCTCCTGAAGACAGAGAAATTGTGGTATAACGAGTTCTGCTTTACTGCGTCATGGCAGTATAACCCTTCGATCTACTTCTTTAGCAGAGTCAAAGTAACTATGTACTTCCAGAACAATGAGTCACCGAGTATATCTCTTTTGAAAAATGCTGCCAACAAAATTTGCTCCAATCACTTTACGTTTTTTACGGGATTAGTCTGACATGCTACCACGGTGAAATTTGCGAGTAACCACTAGATTGATTCAGTAAGATCTAAAAGTTTCTGACGATGGTACTTTAGTACAAATATTATGTTTCTGGACATTATCCATCGTCTTGTCTTTATCTAAAAACCGTCCTGTTTATTTTTCAAAACACAACGTTTTGGAGACTGAATTCTGTCTGTCTTCAGGTAAAACCAATTCAGTCGGGCCCAGTCAACAGAACTAATCCATATCTCCGGTAGGTTTTACCTGAAGGTGGAGACAGAATCCAGTCTCCGAAACGTTGTGTTTTGAAAAATAAGACAGGACGGTTTTTAGTTACAAACAAGACGATGAATAATGTCCAAAAACATAATATTTGTGCTGGATTGAGTCGACTTTCATCTCATTAACAAACCAACAAACCAACCAACCACGGACGGACGTGACTGCTAAAAGTGGCTGTACCGCGCAGCTTTTCTCTTCTTGTAAATGACGTTCAGACAGATCGTGGCCCGAAATTTTACTTGCTATTCGCGGCGTTTTGTTCTCGAGAGTCAGTTGTTAGGTGTGGGTTTGAAGCCGGATTCTCGAAGGATACATGTCTCATCTTGAATTTCTCATCATCGCTGAGTGAAGCCAGGAAGACGTGGAGGCGATGAAAGTAAGGAAGCAAACGAGATTTGAGCCGCGGGTTGACGCTGAGCTGCTGCTTCTGAATTTTAAATCTCGGCAGTTGGGCGCTCAGGGGTATACGAGGCCGTCTGTAGTCTGTTACCTGGCCGAGACGAAATTCAAACTGGGTAGCTCCTGAATGGATGCCTGCTGACTTCGTTCTCGTCCTTTGTAAGCGACGATTAGAAGACGTGAACTGGATAGACAAATTTGTTTTTACAGCTTCGTGTATGTAGGTAAACCACCAAGAGGCGATCGAGGTTGTGATGACGTATTGGCTGCTCGGTCCTATCGCTTATCTCAGGAGAGGAGACAGATGAGAATGGATCTGTGGCGGAAAAAAGACTATCAGAAAATAAAACTCAGTGTCACTTTGTGTTCCACGAATCCCACATGACTTGCACTATGACTGAACCAGTGCCTCCGCTTCATGAGATGCCGTGCCATGGTCCAGGCGGTTCGGTATATCATAGATGTGTTTGTTCTCCACCTCTAGATGTAGTTCGCCCATTTTGACCCCTTCCTTACGAGTTTCGTAAAAGAGACAGCTCTACGAGAGTTACCTCTTCGGGGTCGTAACTCTTCGGCCTACACCTACGGCGCAGAAAATCCCGCGCCGCCGATCTGCGCTCCCTCTCGTGGCATGGTGTCTGACAAATCGGCGAGACCTGCGAGGCTGGTAGGTTCGGTAGGGCAGTGTGTTGCGTAGCGGCGCGATCTAGCACGAGGCCAGCACGCGGAAGCAGATCAAGGGCGGGAATCAAGTGTGACGTGAGGAAGAAGCTGTTGTGTGATTGGAAATACGACACGTCGGTGTAACATGTGAAGCAGAAAGGGAAGTGTGACGAACAGAAGTTGGGGTGATCTGTGTGTTCTCCTTTTCTAAACGACATTAGTTTTCAATGTAGCAAAGGAACGTGTGCCGATCTCAGGCTAGGATGATCTGTGTATTCTTCTTTTCTAAACGACAGTAGTTTTCGCCATGCTTCTCTCGTAGTCTGCACTTAGTGGCAAAGCTGGAATAAGTACAGACGGAGGCCGGAGAGAAGGGACAAGAATAAAAGTATTGAAACTTTATTGAAACACAGAACAAATCACGATTTTACTTGTAGGAAATGACACTTTACATGTATGTGGTTTTAAGCATAACGAATCGAAGATATTAAGAAGTTTAGAAACGTGCTTCTAATTTGGCATGGCTGAAGCGATAAATTGCAGGAGCACGTGTGTTTATATGAAATGGAATGCAATCTGTGAAGCCATTACATTCGCGACGTAACAATAAGAATATTGACTGTGATTTGTTAACATAAGGCCTACGCCATTCAGTTAAATGGCTTTTCAACGCAGTGCATTCACAGTGATGGCATGTAGGTGATATGAGGACTTGCTAGAACAAAACTTGTGTTTATGTTGTGTACGTGTATGGTCAGTTGTTTTCCATTGTAAAAAGACTGTCGTCTCTTGGAGCGAAGAGACAAGTACATATCAGAGTTTCGAAAGAAACCTATTTTCGCGTGATTTCGTTAAACGGTCTGTTGCGATGTTTCATTTATAAACTTGACAATAAGACATGGGGTGCTGACCAGGTCAAGATATTTGTGCCGCACCAAGTACAGTGTGATTAAGACGAGTTGGGCAAGAAAACTGAGTTATTTAGGCAATATATCATCAAAGCACAGGGCGTTTTATTTGATTTCGTGTGTGATTGTGGCGAGGAGGTGTATTTGTTGAACACTGTGGCAATGGCTACGTCTCTGACTGGCGTCGGAATTTTGTGGGCGTTCCTATCCCTCGCGGCTGCATTGCTCTGCTGCTCCGGTTTCTATCTGCCCTTCTGGATACAGGTGTGTGACAGTTTATACCGTACTACATGGCGCTAGAAGATGTGTAGAATTCAGTTCCCCACTCATCTCACAGAGATCTGCAGGGACAGTTCCGTCCCATTGCTCACTCACATCACCGGTAACATTATCCACTCGGATGTGCTTGACGTCTGAATGACTCTGTTAAATAACCTCTCGGTCAGTTTGACGTTCGTGTCAGCAGAGACTATGCTTCTCACTTCATTTCTGGTTTCTAGCTTCAGTTGTCAATGATCTGGGTAACTGAATTTCTATACATTCAGTGCCGATTCTGAATCTTTACATTCTTTACTGTAGGCGGCATATACTGTAGGGGCCAGGGCGCACCATGGAAACTGGCAACCGCAACCCAACCGCAATTTCCGAGAATTGTTATCAGCCTGAGCTGAACACACGTTACCGAATGGAGCAGCGCAAATTGAGGAAACGGCAACGCAACGGAAATTGTGGTTGTGTTGCCAGTTTCCTTGGTGTGCCGTCGCCATAGAAACAGTGTTCGAGATTGACAGTGAAGTTGAGAGTTAGCTAGCAACTCAACGTGACTTATATAACTAATCCGTGGTTTACATGCAGCAGGTGAGCAAGAATCACGCATTTCAATGTAGTGTCAGAGCGACTGTCTGTAATCATATAGGAACAGTTGTTTGACGGTACTCATATAACTATGGGATTTTTTTTGACGCCCGACCCAATTTGCATGCAGGTGCGATCGTCAAGAGAGCAATGAACTGGGAACTAACATGGATTGAAGAATGCCGTCTTCTGGGATGTGGCGCCGTGTAAATATTGTGTAAACCGACGTTTCGGAGGAACGTATCGCCTCCATCTTCAGGGTATAAAAATCCGCGAGCGTGGAACGAGCGTTAGCCGGTTTACACCATATCTACACGGCGCCACATCCCAGAAGACGGCATTCTTCATAGTCACCGCTGTGAAAACCTCAGTTCTTACATAATATGGATTGACTGGGCTTTGGAATGAAGCGCAACTTATTCTTGAAAGCTGACCCCCTAGTATTGCAGTTACTGTTAATGTAGTAGACATATGTTCCCACCCCCATATTTATTTCAGTAAATGTTTGTAGAGTCGGTCACGGTAGCCTAGCGGTCTAAGGCGTGCACTGTCTTC